TTTTCATAAAGAGAGACTAGAATCCTCACCAAGAAAAAAAAGAGTGGTGGCTAGACTTGCACGAAGAAAAAAAAAAAGATGTAATAAGATCTGCATCAAGACATAAATAAATAAATAAATAAATAAAATATTATTATATAATATCCTTTACAAAGATTTTGTCATTTTTTTTACCATTCAACTACCAGTTGTTCTTCTTTTAGGTGCTTTTATGTTGTTCTTTATGCAACAGTTGTTCTTATCACAATTTCTTCTATGTCCATCTATCATTTCATGTTTAATATGATTATTATTGTTGCAACTAATGTAATTTTGTATTCATTCTATTTTTAATTTTATACTTCCAATCTATGTCTTTTTTTTAAATTTTCTTTATTTTCACTTTTATTATTACAACCTAAGTGTACATTATACAAAATTTAATCAAGGCACACAAATTGCACCATCAAAATATGAGCACTCTTGATAATATATCCAATATTTGTAAGTACTTTATAAAAATTGATAGTAATTATATGATTTGTAATCTGCAAGCCAACAAATGCAATTACCTCTCTCCATATAAATATGTTGTAATATCTACTACACTAGCAACAACTTCACCTAAATTCAAGTCATATTTATATCATATATTTATAATCCAATAGTTTTAGGGTAGTGCTAGAATGACACATTAATATATCTCTTTCTCACAACTTAACAATAATCACATGAATGGAACCAAAAATAACTAAGAATCACCAACTGCTTTGAACTATATGTCTAATATATGAAGTACAATTCCATTTACATCATTAGGCACCTCTATTATACACTCCCTAAATAATACCTTTGATTACCCAAAAACCTATCTTCTTCTTCTTTTTTGGCATAGGTCCCAACCCTCTTCCTTGATAAAGAAGACAAAGAAGAAGAGATGGAGATAGAAATAGAGATCTACATTAGAAAAAAGAAGAGAGAAAGGAGGGCTAGGACCTATGCCAAGACAAAAGAGAGAAAGAAAGAAACTTGGATCTATGCTAGGATGAGAAAAAAAGAATTTAGATAAATCAATCAAAATATAGCAACTTGGAGTGTGCTTATAGCTTGAGCTATATATATATATATATATATATATATATATATATATCTATAGCTTATAGTTTAAATTTATGATATATTATTAAATTTTTATATTATTAAATCATATATATATATATATATATATATATATATATATATATTAAGTTTTATTTTTTAATTATTTTTTTTAATTATTCTATAGTATATTTTTTCTAATATTATTAACTTGTTTTACATATTATTATTGAAGCAAAGATGTTTGATAATAATTATTATTATTACTACAACAACATTCTATGAACTTGATTTATACATCACATGTATAGATTAAATAATAAATGGACCTTATTAAATGTTTTAACATATCTTTAAAGAAAAATTTAAGTATTTTTGCAAAAGTAGAATAAGCAATGAATACACTTTCTCAAAACCTATTGATAAATTACATTTGATAAATTACAAAAAAAACAAGAAAAATCTTTTGCTTTATGTTTCAACAAAACTCATTTCAAAATACATACAAAACTAAATAAACAAAATACTTGGAATTATATTTTCAGTATATTATTTTCAAATCATATAAAATCAAGGATTTTTTTCATCACTTCTTTTATCTTATTTTGATACAATTATTGAATTTTCGATTCATTATTTTGATTTTTGCTCTAAATTTCTATAAAAGATCTCTGTTGCAATTTAAATATGTTAGAAAAATTAAAATTAAACAATCATTTCATTGAAATTAAAGTTTTCAAATTCTTTAGTGAGAACATTTCAAAAACTGTAATACTTGAATTGCTTCCATATTCAAAAATCCATTTAAAGAATAAAAAACTAGAAAAACTTGCACAATTCATTTGTTTTGGCAAGCAGGAAAATCTTAGAAAAGTTATGTTCTATAATGCATTTAAAATCATAAACATTTAAAATTTTATTTGATTTGATAATTTTATTAAACACGTATTTATTATGAATATTTAAACAGTATAAAAAACGTAAAAAAATAAATAAATTTTACAAGTTACCATTTGATTTTATAAACGTACTCATGATTATTACGTTATGATGCCAGTTGAATCCATGCCTATGACCGACGGCAGTAAAGACTTTTTGCAATTATAGCGTGTCAAGAGATACAATCCCACCAAAAATATATTTTTGAAGTGAACAATCTTTGAATGAAATTAACCAGTACTAAAGAAAAGATTTAAAAAAAAAAAAAAAAAAAAAAAAAAAAGCAACAAACAAAGATACATTCGAATACTCCAATTATAAAATAATCAAAACAATCAAGCTTTAAAAAAAAATCAGGTTTCCAAAGTTCTTCACTTATCCAACATAGCATAGGTTAATCACCTCCAAATGCGTCTCTCTTCACAAAAGGCAGCAATTTACCAACATAGCAAAAATGAGCTGTTACTTTAATAAGATCATGTTTACAGAACCGAAAAATGGAATTAATCAGTAAACTTTTGTACACACAACCTTACTTGTAAGCTAGATGATCACACAACCCAATAAAATCCTTCGCTTTGCTTTGCTTTTTATTGCCACAAAGTGAAGCATTCTCTCAACAACTGAAAAGGGCACTGCAGCTGTTGAGTCTCTGCATGGAGCTGGAGTGAGTTTCGAGCTCATTGCCCTTCTTCTCTTCTCTATTTTAATAGCAGTAGCTCGTTCTGTTACCGACCTTCTCTGCGGTAGTCTTTCTTCTGATGAGCTAGGTAGCTCGGTTCTAATTTAAACATGAAAATGGTTTTCAATAATGCACAATTTTGAATTCTTCGTGTTCTAAGAAGGCTTAATGAAATGATTCACAAGGTTTTCACTGCTGACCCATATCATTCCAAATTAGAAATGCTCGGCTGCAGTGTACATTTGTTAAGTTTCACTAAATACATTTGTTTCACTAAATGCATGAGCTCTTCATCTCAACATTTCAGATACAATTTGAATAATAAGTCGTGATGGGTAGAAATCTCCAGTGAGATAAGTTGAGGATATGAACAAGTACTTCCAATCGCGAAGGATCTACATTCACTTCTTCAAGTCTTGAATTTAATATCATGTGTATTTTTCATGGAGTTTGCATGCATGGAAACGAGGTTGTTTGTATAATTGATTCTAAGAGAAAAAGAAAAGAAGAAAAAATTGTTCAGGTGGAGATATGGAGATGTTTATAATGTCAATAGATCCTCCAATTAGGAAGTGGACATGAAAAGCTTCACTTCCACATTGAAAACACCATTGTAGACCATCACCTGTCTACATATATATGAGCAAAATTTACACACCTTAGATTATACAAATTCAGAATAGATTCACTTCGGAAAGCTCTTTGTATAAAAATCTGTGCATGTTATTACTATTTCTCATGTACATACCTGCAAGTTTTCAAGACATATATATATATGTACACACACACACACATGTTCTCAAACGGTATCAACTCTTGTTTACTGATAGAATGAGTAGGAGCATGAGCAACAGCCTTATATCAACAGATCCACTGCTCGGCTTCATATTTTTCTCCCTTTGTTCGATCTCCAAAGTGTATCACTCGCTCTGAGAGCCCCAATTTGGCGATGGAGCACAACGTTGTGATCACAAATCAGTCCAGATGCCAATCAACTTCACGCCCCGGGATGATGGAGTGAGCAGCGCCGGCTTTTGCGAACAAAACAGTGTTCGAAGATTGGCAGCTATGGAGGATATATATGCAGACATGAGGATGTTGCTACATATGAGTTGCAGGAAAAAAGACATGCTTGTTCAAGTGAACCTGGTGAAGCCCAGTCTACGGCTCACCGCCGTTGTCTTGGCTACGTTTCTGCATTCCCTCGAAGGATACATCGATACCAGCTGTGCAAGAAAAGCCGCTCCCTCGTTGCTCCATAGTGACTATAGCCCCATAAAAAAGGCCTTTATATGTCGATTTGGTAGTCATGGATGCATTGTTGCAGTAAAAATGGCACCTTACATCGTAACCCAGTTACAGATCGAAAGAGGATGTACTCGTGTGCCGAGGATGATGTTGAATATCTTCAAATATTTCTCATTCAGAGTTTATGACCCTTTCACTTGAGGGTTGCGCCTTCATCAGAATCTGGTGGAAGCAACTGTAGATTTTCTAAGTTGCAGGTGGTGCCGAGGCCCTCGAATTCACGTCTTGATGTGCGATTAATATAACTACCAATGTTCATGGGGCAAGCGAAACGAATTACTGCAGTTTTGGTGTTCTCGTTACGTACCACAGCAACAGGACGGTGAGGGTTATCTGCATATCTCAGCTTCTATGAGATTTTATTGTACATGTCGCGAGATTAGTCCTTCTTTATGCTGTAACCATATTCAGACACACACACGCAGAAAAAATTAAAAAATTAAAAAATTAAAAAAATTAAAAAAAGAGAGAGAAGAGAAAAAAGAAAGACTCGACTAAAGTTGCCCAACAGATTGTTGTTGTCACGTTGCCGAATGAGGAAAGGAATATGGTTTCGGTGGATTCTCTAGGGTTCTCTCGAGGCTCGTCGTTATCACCACCAGTGGTTACCGCAACTGACATGACATGAGCATGCAAACAAAAGTTCTGCTCATGGGCTCTGGAGGGCTTCTCCGACTGACCCTACAAAACGCAGACTAGGCACAGCCATGTGATGCACAGTATTTAGCTTGGACACAGCAGCAGAATGACCGTCAGTAGCTGGAAGAGAGGTGGAGAATTCCAGGCTGTGCTAGTTTTTCCAGCTTTTGAGAGACCAGGGTACATGAATTTCAGACACTGGCATGAGTCAAGCTGCTTGCATACCAACAATAGCTAAATGCGGTCTACATAAATTAGCATATGCTAGATATTTTCGCACGCAACGTACCCGCAATTGAATGCTCAAAAGCTCGAATTGCGATGCAGTATTTCGCATTGAATGTTTATACCACAATTATTGGGAGCTTTGCATGAGTAACTCTTTATTATTTCAACTATTTCTCTGGACCCTTTTGGATACATGCCGGGATGCAAAGCCACTAACATGGGACAATGTGGAATGATATCAGACTGCGTAGGAACATGGCACTACAATCAAATCGAAGGCACTTGATGGGGATACTCACTCTCTTTTTCCAGGTATTATGTGGCGTTATTTCTTCATGTTCTTGTGAAAGACGCATATGAGACATAAGCATCGCAACAAACCTCCATCTATGGCGAATCCCCTTTTCTCTGATCCATCCCTAGCTGCAAACTTTGGCAGTCTGGAAGCCCATGAAGGGTGTATTTAAAAAGAAACATACTGCACACATGAACTTTTTTGAATGATCAAAATTAATTCGTTAAAAGAATCACACATTATATCCATGGTTTGACGCTGTAAAAACATCAGGGGTGCTTAGTGAGTTTGTTGTCCTTTGTTCGAAAGCTTCGCCTCGAAGAGCAAGGACATGGAAAAAAGCAGCTGTAAAATCACCGCCAAACATCACGTCGTGGGTTCATCGGCTTCTGAATTCTGATGTCGACACCGAGGTCCTTGTTTTTGTCAGGTTTCCGACCATTGGAAATTGTCACTTGCGTCTGTCGAATCTGAGAAATTGGCGATATGTTTACACGCTAGGATTTGAGCGCAAGAGTTAGAAAAAGATCATTTACTCAGTTACACCAGATGGTGCAAAAGCAGTCACACAATAAGTGCTTCCCAGGGAGAATCAGTTGCATGAAATAAACAATGTACAATCCTCTCATTCCATGCATTGCAAACGAGCCACATACTGATCAGGGGTGGCTTCATGTCCCAGTTCATTCGTTGCTTCGCGAGGGATAGCATATCATTTGCTTCAATGATGGGCAGCCGATAGAGCTCAGCGTTTCTTCAAAAGATATGAACATGAGGGCGTGGTTGAGTGAACCAAATTGTCTCGGGCACAGCACCGAAAGCGACGCTCTGGCTTGAATCAAAGCTGCTCACCAAGGCTAAAGTACATCTTCAGTTATATAACAAAAGCTTCAGGTTCGCTGCAAAAGTGAGCTTGGAGATCGTTTTCGTGATCACGAGATGAGGGGCCATCTTATGGCAAGCAGAAAAGAGAAACCAGGCGGCCACATGGATGCCATTTCGGAGATCTGACAGCGTGGAAACCTCGTCGCAACCAACACTTCATGTGCAGTCCATGGTGTGGAAATAAAGCCTGGATAGAGCGGGGGCCTCATGCAATTCGAGAACAGACATGAAGAAGATCCCAAGCATACAGGCCTACGTCCACGTCGGTGGCGCTACAGCTGCAACCCTGATAATTTTGGATGAAGCATGCAGAAACCAGCGGTGCAATCCACGTTTCATATCTGGACCTACAATCTCCACCTGCGATGGTAGAGTACTCTCTGGTCTCAAGTGCTTAACTTTTCGTATGCGTTGAAGCACAAACCATCTCCATGGGGATCCTGTCGACAATGCAATCACGGCAAAGTGCACAACACTGAATTTAATAACCTTCGCTATGGAAAGTTTCCGCTGTCTGTTCTGTGTGTTGTGAGGTTTTACCTAGTTTTTTGTGATTCCAGATCTTGCCTCCATCAATTGTGGCAGTCAGGCAGTTAGAAGTGCTGCTTTGAATTTCCCAGGTAGCCAGCTTTTTGGAACATTATAGACGTTGAAGAGCTCCAACTTCTTTTTCCGACTCATGTATTCTTTTCGGGTACCGAAACAGTTCGGAAGGGTGTGCTGCTGTCAGCATACATGAGTGTCCTACAACTCGGATCAAAACCCTAAAAAATCCCACTTCCAGTTCAATTCAACATTTCACAACGTTCTCATACAGACCATCAAATCCTGTGCTAAATCTACTCTTATTTTCACAACCTTCAGTGGGTAGACGATTGGGTCACAAGTGATGTTATTTCTGTAACCATACAATCCTGACTTCTCTGCAACACAGAACTCAGGATTTCAATCACATGACACGCCCACTTTGTAATGAAACGATCCAGACGCTCCTCGTCGTTTTGTGCACCAGCACATCATCGTGTTCACAAACACCCACCCACCCCCCCCCCCCCCCCCGCCCCGATTTCAACCCTAATTCTAGCTTTGTTTTGGTCCACTTGTTGTCCTTGAGCGCTGTCACTGACGTGTCTTGTCATTTCATGGAATCGTGTTGCTTTAAGCTCCTCTTTTTGGGTTTTACAAATTTGTATTTGTAGAGTGTTGGTGATCGGCACCCAACTTTTTTGGGTGTTGGGTTGAAATTGGGGCATGCGTTTCATGGTGAATGTTTCATTTGGTTTAATGTTGTCATCTAATGGATATTAATGTTGTGAATGAGTACACGGTGCAAGTTTTTGAGTGTGTTTATATTTGAATTTGTTGCAACAAAGGCAAATAAATACTGGGGAGTTGTTGTTAATTGAGAAAATTTTAAATTTTAAAATAAATGTAATAATAATGATAGCAGTACAATTTGAAGATGTTATAAATAACATGAAGGCTGAAATTGCGATTTTAAGAATAATTTTGGTTCAGTTTCAGAATACATTTAATACATCTCTAATAAAAAAAATTATAAGAGTTTTTGTAATTTTTGAAAAATCATAGAATTATAAGAATAATAATAATAATAATAATAATAACAAAGTTATTTTAAAATAATAACTGAAGAGAAATAATTTATATCTAGTTAATCACAAAAAATATATATATATAATAAAACAATGTGGATTTTAATAATAGATTAGTAAATACAAAAATCTAAAATTTGTAGCAAATTAATTTAGACAATCATCAAAAAAATTCTAGATAAAAGAAGTATTATCAAATACTAATGTAACCACGAAATAGTTTTATCCTTTAGGTTTTATTCAATAGAAATGCACTAGGTTCATATTTAGAAATTTTATGTAAAATGAATGCAGATACTTGTATTTATATACTTGATAAGACAATATTTCAAATAGAAATTTTAACTAGAATATTATATCTCTTATTTATAAATTAATTTTTCAAAAAGAATTTATAACGTATAACTTATAGGTTCAAACTAAGGTCCATCTTTTAAGTAATCATACAATTTAATATAAAATAAATTGTAAGTTTTATTAATAGAAAAAAAAGTATTTTATTTTTAAAATTATGTATATTAGGTCAGAAACTGATAATGTTGAGATTGAATAAGTCCATCAAAGTACATTTTTCAAAAATATAATTCTACACATACTAAAATATTAAAATAATAATCAATGTGCAAATAATATATATATATATATATATATAATTTTTATAATGATAATTTTTAATATATATTTTAAATATGAAAATATTTATTTATTAAATTATAATTTATTAGAGTTGATATCAAAAGTATACAACCAAGAATTATGTATAGCAAAGAAGATAAAGACTCATCAAAAGCAAGAAATTTTTTTGTAAGGTCAAGAGTATTAAATAATCATAGAATAAAATTCTTGACTAACTTTGTTAAACTATTTTTCATACTAGAAATAAATTCAAAGTTGTAAATAGGATGAGTCCATTAAATAGCTTGTGTCTTTTGTTTTATACTATTCAATCAAAAAATATTGTGGCTAAAATCCAAATAAATAATTTAACCATCACCAAAATTTACAATAATAATAAAAAGTGGAATTATTTTCCCTTTAAAAGTACTATAAGATTGAAAGAACAAAATATGATTTTGATAAAAATATTAAATTCTATTAATAAAATTTATTTTCATTCTTAACTATTTGAAGAATATCCCAAGCTACAATCTTCAATTTTTTATAAATGCATCAAAAATCCAAAGTTATTGATTCTTTTCTACTAAGAATATTTAACCACCAACTAGTATTACGTTTTTTTGTCAATATTCTTGGTTTTAATTCCTACAATGTATATGGCACAAGAAAATAAATTTTGAACTTTCAAACATACAAGATTGGTTTCTTGCTTAGCATTTTGACCATGCAAGTTAGGGATTTCAAATTTTAAAATTTCATTACAATCAATAGAGAAGATCAAATCATATAATCTTTTGAGGGTAAGAAAGGCTCTATATAAGAAAAATAAATGAATAAACATAAATAAATTAAAAAATTAAATTCAACTCATCAATAAAAATTGAAAAAATTATACAATACAAAAATGATGGCCAACCATCTAGTCAGGTTAGCAGGCACCTCTCAGCCTCAGCATTAAATCTCAATGTGACCCATATGTGTCAAATTTCAAAAGAAATAAAAAAATGAAAATAAAAAAACTTAATTTTAAAAAAATCAATGTAGCAATGACAGGAACACAAAGCACAAGAGAGTTGAAGAGAAGGACGAGTCCACATTGTCCCCTGAAGTGCACCAACTGAAGCCATTTTCATTAAGTTGTTTCCATCTAGATTCTGCATGTTGTTGCAATTAAAATATGTGGGTCCAAGTCCTGCTGTCTCGAAAGCCATGTCTACCATCTCAAAAGCTACTACTACAACAACAACAATGCATTTAAACTTCACTCTGGTTGGAGCCAGTTGGGGAGCACTAACTTATTGTCAAGGAAAAGCTGGGCATGCAGGATAAGAGCCTGGAAAATCACTCCTCGGTTGACTAATGTCTCACACAAGCTGGGATGATTTTTATTTTTATTATTTTTTTTTTGTGTGTGGGCTGCAGAATGTGGCGGCAGGCAACATTGTGCTATGAAGAACTATCAAGAGCTAAAGAGAATGTTTGCTAAAGTGCAGACTGGAGGGGCCCATGCTTGTTTCGATAGGTGTGGTGCAAGACATATATATATATATATATATATATATATTGTACCGGACTCACTTGGGAGCCAAAGCAAACCAGTCAACAAACCCAATGCATGATCACGTCACTGCAGTTACTCTTTTTGCATCTGGTAGCTTATCCAAGAATATCTCTCTCTCAATTTTTTACCGAACATTGCGAGCATGAAAACCATGCAGTATCCGATTCTAGTCAGAGTGGCAAGTCTGGTAAAGATTTCTTCGGTTTGTACCTTCGCCACCATCCCTGTTTGTTCTAGTCCATTTTCCGCGGAGGCGTGTGGAGTAATACATTAGTTTCAAGTTCCAATTGAGTCTTTTCAATTTTGACTATATAACACGTAAATACACAAAATAGCGTAATACCCTCATCAGTTTCTCAGGAATCAACTAATATGCTCCCCACCAAAAATTTGGAGTGTCTGAGAGATTAAGTTTGTGAAACTGAAATTTTATTTCGTGTAGTACCTAAACAATGGAATGTGAAAGACCGAAGGGGCACAACCCCCAACAGGCATCCTGGCTACAGAGGCTTTCGTCTAATGCAAGTATTATCTATGCCTCCATTCCTCATCTGTCGTATAATCCCTGCAATAACAATGCCACATGATATCTTGTGAGGAACTGATGCGCCAGTGTAGGAGACAATATGATAGTTGAAAGGAATGATTTTAGATGAATTTGTACTTCTGCTGGGATTAAAATGAGCAACAACTAGCTTATAGGCAAACACCACTTAAGTAGACATCACAAGGGTCTGAAAATCTACAACTGGACTCACCAGCATTAAGTAGACCAGTAGGAGGGCGTAGTATCAGCGCAATGGATCAGTCTAGGCTCAGCCCTTCTATGCTGTTGGACCTCCACAAAGCAGCTCCTCTTATTGCCCTTGAAGTTTCAAGGACAACTATAAAATACACAAGAACATGTTGCTATGTCTTCAGTTACTGGATAATTTGGGTACTATCTAAATGATCTATCAAATTGGAAGAAGGTTAATTTATACGAACCCTGCACCTTTTGGGGGTTCAGCACTCCTGGTGCTCATGTACAATTGAATACTCAAGAAGTGACAAAGTCCCATCGAGTCTTCAACAAAGGGCTGGAGACATCCTCTAGACCAACCAAAAGCGGCATTTCCAGTCACTCACAGACCAAGTAATATGTAGTACACCATAGTAATTGGCAAAGCAATAAGCATTCCAAATATCACCCTGTACATCCAACGGGACGAGAAAAGGGTCAATAAACCCTGAAAGCAAATCCAAATATTTTCTTTCAAATGAAGAACCAATCATTAACTCAAAGGCCAGCCATACAGATCAGGTCATAATAAAGTGCATTAACAATGGATTTTAAATTCATGTCCAGACTAATCATGCTGCGAGTAAGAAGAGGTGCTCACGCAGTACTGAGCATCTCTGGATGGACTCCATACTCCTTTGCAAAAACAAATGGTACAATTCCTTGAGGTAAGGCAGCCTGCAATTTTACATGGAGTTTTAGAAACAAGTTTCAGAGCTTCGAGGACAATTCAGAAAGAAAACGGGCAACTGCGATTGGGAACAATGACTAGTGGAGAAATTTGTATGCACATTAGAAGTCAAGGGACTTTGGCTACCTGCACTATGGACACTTTAAGCGGCACACCACGAAGGCCCACCAAATAAGATGCGGCAGCGAACACAGCTGGACCTGCTAGAAATCGAAGACTCATCCCAAATATTGCCATTTTACGTCCGCACACAACAATTCGGTCGCCCAATCCCATGAACAAGCCTGCAAAGAATCGTGCATGAGTTAAGACAACCAAGAAGTTAAGGATGATTGAAAACTAGTTTATCAGACCAGACTAAAGAATACGGACTAATTCCATAGGGCATTCACTTGCTCGAGGTTTCAGCAGGACCTATATTGTGGAAAAGGCAATGCACCTATTCAGTCCACATGCAATTCACAGCAATCAAGACTTACCAAGACTGAACATAGCCATCCCAAGTCCTGCATCTGAAAGAATATGCACGGACTTGTAGAGGATCAGCGGCATGGTGAAATGCCACCTGAAAAAAGGCGCCGAAAATCACTGTGGTCAGAAGGATGAAACTCAAAAGCTGTAATAAGAAGGCAGTATCTGATGTTCAGTTGGTGATGGCAAGAAAGTTTTGAACACATTTGCTCTTAACGTCATGTACAAGTAGGCACAAGTACTAAGCTCAAAGAATGCACGTCATTTATTAGCAGTTTCACCCAGAAGGAGGTTTACCTATTTGCAACTAGTGACCAGATCACCCCAAGTAAACTGGAGTAAGTATTTGGATTCCAGACAAGTTTTCTGAAGGTCATGACAGCGATGAGCTTGATCATCACTGCCGAAGGTGGCATGCTCTTCTTTGCTTCGTCTTCGGGTACCTTGGGTGTCAATTCTGCAGTGGACGTTGAACCGAACTTGTTGTCCAGCCTAGGCCCATCCTTGTCAAGATCCTCCAATTTCAAATCATTCCTGTTTCCGAAGCTGAAGTCCTCTTGAGCATAATTATCATAAGTTCTGGGGTTCGCTGCAAAACAATAACGATTGTAAAATTAGAAACATGTGAGGACACGCTAAGACAAGACTCTTCATTACTCTCCTTCCAAATCCACTACGAACTCCTGTGGGAGATGAGAAGTTTTCATGAAAGGCCACTATTGTACACAAAGTGGCATATTCTTTTCGACATTCCTACTGAATGCGCGACATGAGAAGAGGGGCTTGTGTAGAGGTGGATCTCACTATGAAAGACATTGCAAAAACATGAGTGAGATGATAAAATTACCTTCTGGGTGGCGAAGGTCCGACTGCGGGTGCACAAGCATACGCACTTCTTTGGGGTCAAAGCTTTGGTGGAGATTAGCGGATGTGTCATTTCCTCCAAAGACGTGCAACCCAGCTTCCGAGACAGGCGACGCATTCGCACTCCACACAAACATGTGAAGCTCCTTGGCATCCTCGTCTGATTTCGGAGAGGTTCTTGTGTCTTTCACCTTTTTAGCGATTTGAGAAGCCCGTGGAGAATAAACAGGGTTAACAATCTGGGTGTTAAGACTAGAAGAAAGAGGGGTAGCGATGTTTCCGGTACCTCCGGGAGTAACAAGACTGATGGCAGTTTGGCTTCCCGGATAGATGGTGCGACCATCAGGACCCATCCCCGGCGTGCCGAGAGTACTTAGTGATCCATGCCCTGTGGGATCATTGCCATGGACAGGCAATCCACCAAGCCCGGTTCGTGGCATGAACATTCGACCTCCTGCAACATTCCGATACAAAGGAGGCACAAACCTCGGGGAAGTCAAATTCAGGCCTCGGTGGTGAGTGTGCATATCCTTGGAATTTTCTTCATTGAAATTCGAAGTTCGTGGAGTGGGGCCTCGAGATGACTGCAGGGAGTAAACATCAGAGATGTCGAAATTCGACTGACGGTGGGGGCTCCTTTGCGCCATCATGGAGAAGTATTCGCCCTGGTTGAAACTCGAATCTCGTGGCGTTAGATTCACTGAAGAATGCATGGAATAGATTTCTGCGCCGGTGAGGTTGGAGGGACGTGGTGTCAGGGCCTTCGACGAAGGCATGGAGTGATGAGCGGAGTGCATGCCCTGCGACCTGGATGACACAGACCTTCGAACTTTGACGTGCAGTTTCCCGTCGTCGCCTATTTCAGCTTCAGTGAGCACTGGCTCCCGTCCGTCCAAAGACATAACGTCTGAGTCCACCTTGAAAGACACGATGGATCCAGCGTTTTCTGGGAACTGCTGCATGATAAGAATCTTCGCAGCTCGGTACTCGTACATCAAAAGCAAGAGGGTGTACCAAATTATACACTGCAGGACAACTGCCTGGATCGTAAGATCGCCAGGCCCGGGCCCATACATGGCTGCCAATAGAGGTGTTCCCATCACCAAAGTGTTGGGTATCGTGATCAGCACAAACAATGTAATCATCCACTCGAGGCTTCCTCGCTTTGAGTATCGAGCCCAGAGACCAAGGCACAAGAGGACAAACACCTTGGACACCGCATCGGCTGCAATGAACCTAAAATTCATCGCGTAGGGGTTGTTGCCGGAGATGAACTGGAAGGATAGGAGAGGGACAGCAAAAATGGAGACGAATCTGTTGATCCCACCACATTGCTGTGGCGTCAATATCCCCCACCATTTCACCGAACCGTAAGCCAACATCATCGCCACGTAGAGTGGCACCATGGCGCTGAGGACATTGTAAATGTCATGCCCGTTAATCATTTTGACAGAGGTTTAAGTACTGTCTAGTATGATAACGAAACACTCCGCACTGGAACTTAAGAATCTGATCACTGATTAAAACAAGGCTTCGAAAATTGAAACGGAAGAAGAGATCGGATCTAACTCGGGCTAAATGGTAGAGTAAATGTATCTTCAAACAACCTGAAGGTCATCAACTTCTCAGATTTTCTTCGACCATGATAGTTTCCAGTGAGCTAAGAATGGTCTAATAGCTAGCTTACAGATTTCTAGACCACCCAGAGAGAGGAAAGACTGAGGCAGTCCAAATCTCCAGTAACAAACAAAAAACTCTTTGCTTAACTTGACGTAACTTGGAGTTGCTCTTAACCCCCCCCCCCCCCCTCCCCGATTGGTCCGAAACTTCGGACTGCTAAAAAGCTGAATCAGCGAACAATCCGCTGTATGTTAATACAAACTATCATGCGCAAAGGAATGGTCGTGTTCTATTCGGTGCTGATTCAATAACGTTACATGTGATAATCCTCAAGGATCACAATCAGGGAAAGGAACTCATCAGGGATGTCCGTTTCTCAGAATAGATGTGATTTTGAGGAAAGGCCAGCTCCAATGCATTACACTTCTCCTCCCCCCGAGGCATCCAAAGAAGAATGCCACTGTTTCAAGCATTGGCGACCTTAACACGAGGGATTTAGCCACGGCAACCTGAATACGACTCCTCTCCACTGAAGCACCTCTAATCCCATCCACCCAACCACCCTTGTGTAAAAACGTTTTTTTGTTCTCTTGACGATCCCTTCACTACATTCACGAATTGACGAGGCCTGCGCACTCGAAAGTACTCGCATGCCGCCGCTACAAGACTAAACTGCAGAGTTTATTCTGCTGCAACAGAGTGTAAAATTCCACCATGAATTTAAAACCGCCTACTCGAAGATACAAGGGGCAGCTCTACCACGGTGGAAGCAGTGACCGATTTGCATTTTCATGCCCCGCGACCAGAATGACGCACCCAACATATCATACCCACAACCGCACTGATGCGCACGAATCTTGACAAAACAGCGCTGCAATAGCTTTCAGCTATAACCACGCGTCTCCCATCGACTAAAACATACAGCAACAGAGCTACAATGACCCCCAACGTCCCCAAATTTTCAGAAGGCAAAACCTCATGGCCATTGCCAAATCCAAGAATCCCAGACGTAAGCGGGCGAAGAGGGAATTAAAACCAATAGCAGTTCGCCGCTTGTACCACTACTTCACCCAATGTACACTACACACAAAAGGATAATAAATGAAACGGAAACAAAAGAAGAACAACTCAATCTGATCGTCGCAACCTAGCTCAACGAACGAAAATCGAGCTGAAATCCCACCCTATTGCGAGACACTGATCAACCCCAACAACTTCACTCCACCCCGCAAACTTCCCCTCTAAATCAACCCCCACTGCCAACCGCACAATCGCGTCCCCCTCTCTCTCTCGCAAATTCCTCTGCAATACGCTCAACTACAGCCCCGCTGCAATCCAAGCCACCTGCAGGTTCAAGCCAATGGACCCAATCCCAAAAACAAAGCAAAAAACTCGACAAGGCTCAATTACAGCACTGAAATGGGCCACAGTGTAGCCATTCCGGCACCGAAATCCGCAAGGCTGGGCTCGTTAAAACCCTTGCGACGAGAAGCGGAGGCAAGATTGTATGGGAGAGGGGAAAAATCGATGGGAGGCTACGGATTGTAGAGGCACGGCTGGGATGGGTATGATGCAGCGAGGGCAGTGATACCTCAAGGCTTTGATGAGCGCCCGAGGGGGGTGTGGAGAGGTCACCGCCGACTCTCGGTCGGCGACCGATTTCCCTTTGTCAGACCACCGGTAACTTACCCAGTATATATATTTCCCTGTTACAGCCGCAACTCATCCACAACTCACCCTCCCCCCTTTGTAAATTTATATTTATTTGTATATACAGTTCGAATCCAGTGCTTTGATATTATTATTATAGTTACGATTATCCATTCGTTTTTTTGCTTATTTATTTAGATGTTGCATTGACTATGGAATAACCGTTACTTTTATGAATTTAAAATATTAAAAAAAATGAATGAATGAATGAATGAATGAATTCGATATTAATTCTACCATAGAGTGCTTTCTTATTCAATTTTTATTTATTTATTTATTCATTGGGGGGGGGGGGTATTTTTGCTATGAGAGCATGGTTATCTCATTCTGATAGAATTGATTGTTTTAAACTAGATGGAAATAAGCGAAAATCAATGGTTTAAGAGGAGGAAGCACAAGAGTATTTTAATGTTATTATTGTATTGTTTTTATTGATGATGGGAACTTATCACTGGGTGAATTAAGAACATGCTATAATCTAGATTGGGAAACTTGGGGTGAGTTAGTACATTGGGTACCAAAGCTACCCTTCCATGAGAATTATTATTCTTAGTATTAGTATTAGTATTAGTACTTTAAGGGGGAAATTATACGTACATATCTAAAATTTCAAAACACCAAAATTATAAAACTTCAAAATTAAAAATTAAAGTGTAAAGATTTCTAGTAAGGTCGGAATTCAAACTTAAACCCTTGCATTCATAGATATGTATTTAGTATAATATAATATATTCATTGATTTAGTATTTTTTTTTGAAATTATGATTCAAAGTCTTAAGGATTAATTATTTAACAAAAAATTATAAAATTATAAAAATCACTTTTTTCATTTATTTAACAAGTGAAAGATCTTGAAATGAGTTTGAAATCAAAAATTGGTTAACTACACGTGATTCATGTGATTTGGATGAAGAAATTCATGTTGTGTGGTTGAACATGGCTAAGATAAATGTTGTGCTTGTAATCAATTCTAAATTATAAAATGTTGGGTTATTTCAGGAATTTTTAAGGTGGACATCTCTCCTTTTATAGATACATTCAACAAGACTTTTATTTATACCAAAAAACTTTAAAGTAAATTTACAAGAATCTTCTCTCTAAATATAATTACTAATCCTTTTAAAGTAAATAAAAGAATTACATAAATGAATTATGATCACAACAAACTCATGTTGTAAAAAAGAACAAAACATATAAAATTTTAATTCATTTTATCACACAAATTCTTTTCTTGCAACTAAAATTTAAACATCTTCTTAAAAATATAGAACCTAAAATACTCAAAACAGACCAGTTGAAGAGTAGAAGAGTAAAACTTAGATCTTAAAAACCATTCAGCATATTAAATTTATATAATTTCATAAAACTTACTGGTACTTATAAATTAACACGATTGGTTATGACTTATGATTTTTCTAAGTCACATCGTCTTCTATACCAAAATTTAAAAGCTAAATAGTCTATAACATGTTTTAAAATGAAGAAGAGAAAACCAAAATCCTTTTAAAATCTAAAAGTTATTATTAGTGTTCTCATTCGTCTTTTCATGATCTGATTTATAATGAGATATAAAAAGTAAGTAAAATGTTCGTTCTAAAAAAAATTCGTAAAAATTAATATACTGAATAACATCAGATAAACACTAAAGCATAATACATTTTGTTGTTTTTAATGCACCTCTTTTATTTTTTGAAAAAATTATAAATATTTATATCATTTGAAACAACTTGTATTTTTTTCTTAGTGTATAATTTAAATTTCTAATTTGCATCATTGCAAAATAAACAAAAATAAGCTTAACTTTACCAAACTTAACAACTAAACTATTTAATTGACTAAATTGGTAAATGAATTAAAAAAATCAAAAATATATATTTATATATTTATATTGAGCATTTATTTATATATGTGCGTTCTATTTTATTTTTTTGCATAAAATATGTTTGATAGAAGATCCTCTAACACAATGATCTAATAGAGAACAATCTATATTCCAAATCAAATAATGAGTTGTTGAACTAATCTACGCCATGATGAGTAAGTATTTCACATGAACTATATATATATATATATATATATATATTTGTTTATTGATGTATTCATACATACATCCAAATAATGATGTATGTTTCTTTTACATAGAATTTCTGCACTACATATGATGAAATGATTTCACACACTTCAAGTCACAGACCAAATTAAATTACAGATAAAAGGTCAGTAAATTCCTTTAGAAATCGAAAACATATATATATATATATATATATATTAATATGAAAAATAAAAACATTTTCATTCAATAGACGATTAGTCAGAGTTGATATCAGAAGTACAAGCACTGCAACACTCAGCCCTCAGATTTACCCAATTTCATGATATAAATATTTACTATTAAAATTTTACAATATTAAACATTCCACCCATGAAAAAGAATTTTCCATAATTTATAATATAGTCTACTTCTGCAGGTGGTTTGTGTTATTTATTAAACTCTGAATTTATATTATTATTAAGAATAGTACAGCATAATAAATAAACAAAAAATAGAAATGAAGTGATTGCTGTGTCTCTTTTCACAATAGAAATATATAAGAAATCAGATGCCAAAGTATTAAAGCTGCTTATTATTGTGTCAACCCCTTTCATACAAAAAAAAAAAAACAAAAACAAAAACAAAAAACAAAGGTGGATTGTTTACACCTTTTTTATTTTAATATATTAGTGGAGGTGCAAGCATTGCTTCTGTGCTACATACTTATATATAGATAGATAGATAGATAGATAGATAGATAGATATTTAAAGTATACATATGCACTCATCTATTTTGTCTCAATAGTGAACTTTCTTACCTTTATCTGAAGATATTTTATGGATAAAGTTACCTTATGGTATTTGGCTCCACATGTACTTTTTCTTCTCATTTAATTTTTATGGATTTTCAGTGAAACAATATTTTTCTCCCTCTCTCTCTCTCTCTCTCTATATATATATATATATATATAATTTTTGAAGGTCGTGAAAGATGCCATTTTGTAGGGCTTCAAATAGAGATGACATTAATTTTATTAAGCTGGAAGATAACAAGACTTAATTTTGAAATAAGAACCAGAAATAAATGCACATTCTTAAAGCATTTTTATAAAGAACATCAAAGATTGATTTTTAAGTGTAAATAAAAATTTCTTCAGTTTACAAAAGACATCATATGATTTGAATTTTAAATGGATAAAGCTTTGTGGATTTAGGTTAATGTTGATTATGACTCAAATATTAAGCGATTTTAAAACATGTTTGTTACTTATTTCTACTTAATCACTCATTCATATATTTTAAATAAAAATGATTTTAAACACAAAAAAATAAAATATTTTTTTAGAAAATAAGAACATTAAAAAACCAAATTTAAAAGATGTGAAGCAATAATTTTATACATGTAAGAATAAGATTGAGAAATTTAAATAAGGCAACAATGCATTATGTCTTTGGATGTTTGTGTATGTGTGGATACATACTACATCCAATGAGATTAAATGAGTTAAAAATTTAATTATTGGTGGCATTAGCAATACTAAAAATAACTAAGCTTTTTTATTTTTATATATATATATATATATATATATATATAACTTTTGATGTTCTAGATTTTCAAATGTTGGCTTTTTATTTTTTGTTCTACTTTACTCTTATCTTGAAAATACTTTTGTTCCTTGTGTTCCACATCAACTATCTTTGCAATAGTTTCATAGAAGTGAATTAATGAAAATAATTGTTAATATTATTATCTATGGAAATAATGTTAATAAAGTATTATGGTACACTGTGTTTTAGGCACAAAAAGTACTTGATGTTTAGAAGAAACCAAAGTTTGCATTAATGATCTTTAAAATGTTAAGATACTACCAAATTTAATTGATACAATAATACATCTAAAATAAAGCACAAGAAAAAAACTTCTCTAATATTTATTATTTATGTAAAGAAAATCCCACAATATTTCTAATATTGATAAACCTTTAAATGAAATTTTGATCCTCTTGGAAACTGGTAACTCAACAACTGGACCCTTAATAACATTATCATTATAAAATTATGATTAATTTAGGTATTAAAAAAATTAAAAATTAAGAAAAAAAAAAACCAAAACTAAAATTTAATGTAAGAAATGTCATTTTGATTTGAAATTATATTCATCAAACTTTTAAAAGAATGAAAAAATAAATTAATAAAATAAATCACAAATAAATAATATCTTCTTTAAAGTTTTATAGAAAAAATAGTAATGATAAATAAATAAAACTAAATTTTTTGAAAAATTATAATGTGAGACATTAAATGGTATTAAGATTTTATTAATACTATTATCATTATTTTTCCTAGAACGATTTCAAATAGTAAAAGAGAAAATTCACTAAAATTTAAAATGAAGAAGTAGAATAAAATAGATTTTTAAATGAGAAATTACTTATTCAAATAATCGTTATGTAATTTTTTTGAGCGAATTAAATTCAGAGATCATATTTAATTAATTTAGACCACAAATATACATGTTTTTCTAAAATTTTAGTTTTCGAATTCTAATATTTCTTTGTAGGTCAACATCTCTGAAGATTCATTCTTATCTAATTCATTATAAGAACTTTGAACTCAATTGTGTCCAAATAAATTTTGGTAGTTTTGCAAAAATCTCACAACATCTCAATTATTCAATTGAATGAAATACTATGAAAACTAATTCTATTTCAAATGCCCCTAAAACAAAAATAAATAAATAAATAAATAGTAAAACTAGAAGTTACTTGTCATTATACATGAATTAATTTTTATGTTTCATATACAGGGTTGGTTATCTAATGAGCATAGCAGTATTAAATTTTAGATTCTAAATATAATTATACAATCAAAATAATCACATTCCATTTAAACTTTAAATCAAATGCTTTCACAAACCAAAGTTCGAGTTTGAAAAATATTAGACTTTTACATTTTGAATAAATACAAAAGATGGTAAATTTGCTTAGAAACACAAAACACACATCAACATACATATAATTTTAAATAATTATATTTTTCATTAAAATATTAAAAAATACGATTTAGATTTCCTACCAGTATTCTTCATTGCAAAAAAATAGTCTTAATAAAATCCGCAATGCAATCAACATAATACTCTTACATTGTGTTATCATCCATACATGATTCATTACTTCAAAAAAATCCAATGATTGGTATTAAGTTATAAGAATATTATTGTACAATACGTACAGAAATAATTTGTGATTAGATGTTAAAAAGCCATTTTAAAGACATCAAGTTTGTTTTCTAAATTTGCAAGAATTCTTTAGATTAAAGTGTTTTAATTATTATAGTTATCTTATGCCCAAGCATTTCAACTTTTGTTTAATTTATCACAAAATGATTTCTAGTTATAAACAGAAGAATTACTCATATTATCAAAAGTGAAAAGTAAACATCCTGGATAAGTATTGTATTAAATCATGCTAAATTTATAAATAAGTAAATTAATAATGCTTGTATATCTTTATAAAATAGTGGCCACACAATAGTTTTATGATAAATTTAAAATTAACATTAAAGTTTTAAAACATTTGTGGTATATATATATATATATATATATATATATACTCACAAATAAATGTACACTTACATACATCTCTAGTTTCTAACAAATATTTAAATCATTGTTGAAACATTTCAATTCTCTATAATATCATAGTACCAATTAAAATTTGAATACTTTTATTTAACATGATGTCTAGCACTTTTCTATAATATTATTATAGTTATTTGGAATAATAGTATTATCAGTATCAGATTATTATATTTATTTACATATTTTTGTGAAATTTATTAAAAATATTCATTTGTTTGTCAAATTTATGTTCTTCAAACAAAATTTGAAGTCTAAAATATAATGAATGTATTCAAATTGTATTTAATAGAACTTAAACTTTATAATCAACATCACAAATTTTTATAAAAGATTTTTTTTAATAAATTATAAATTAAGTATTATAAAAAAAGTAAAGGAAATTGGATAAAAGAGGGTTTTAGAGTTGTAAATTACCAGAAAGGAAATGTGGTTACTCTACATTTGTTTTTTACAATCAATAAAAAAAAAAAGGAACATACTTATTTACTTGTTATTTTGGATAATTGTGGAGTTTAAAAAATAATCTTTGATATTTCGAGATATTTAATCAGTTAAAAATAAATAAATAAATAAAGTAAAGACAACAAATTAACATATTGAGTTGAAAACTATTTAAGACCTCTGGATTTTTTGAATTCATTAAAACCAAAATAGTTATTTAGTATGTGTGGTAAACAGTAAGAGAACAAGCAAATCACTAAACCTTTAATCATAAACTAAATATTTATGGCTGTGCATTATTAAAATACTATTTTAAAAAGAATTAAAAGAGCAAAGTGCAATCCATATCAATTTATTAATTTTGGCAATAAGGTGATGCTTGACGCAATACAACATATATATATATATATATATAACCGTATTCATCTCAATACATCTAAAATATTCTTTAAATACATTTAGGATATGTCCTAAAGACCATTGCAAAGTTTAATTCTCACACACTCATACATACACTCCAAAAATTCTCATACCCATCAGGCACATTAAAATCATATTTCATGTATTTTCAACACAAACAATCATGTGCAGTCATGGTGAAATACATATACAACGTCCTAAATAATTTGTCCTAAATTTGGAGGGTTTCTTAACTAAGAGATGTTTACTAGGGAAATATATTTGATTTAAGAAACAATCCATTGTTAATTCACAAATGCAAGTTTATTTAACCCTTAACATCCATACTCTGTCTTTTCAAAGAAATATTTAATATTTGATTGACAGAAGGAATTTCATTTCAAGTATATATATATATATATGCGAAGTATTCCCCAGTGCTATTCAGGAACATTCTCTCCGCCGCCGTGTGGGGGCCTCCTAGTTCACTCAAACTCTTCCCTCTTACTTTGGCTTTTTCTAGCTACTTTTTGAGAGGGCGGGACTGTCATAACGGGGGCGTCGAGATGCGGCAGCCGTGGCGCCAGGGTGTCGTCCACGTGGGCGAGATGGGGACATGGGATGGGACAGGGCGGAGGGGGGACCAGATTAACTGGTGGTGGTGGCTGGGGCGGGGCGGGGGTGGTGGGAGGTTGGTGTCGTGGTCGTGCTCCAAAGATATCATGCTGTCGGCTTTGAGATTGCCACGTGCCTATACCCCCTCGCGCTATCATCCTCTCAGTGGATGATATACATGGATGCAAAGTACCACGACCGAATCCCTAAAAGCAGGCTGATCCTCCCCCCCCTTTGTCCATTCATTCAAATCGCAATAAAGGTCTTGAAAAAGGAACAATTCCGTCGCTTATAACTTGATCACGTATCGAAGTTATAGGTATATATAACGAACCATTTTTTCTTTTCTTTTTTTTACTACTTTAGTGTTAGATGTCAATAACGTGCACATGTACCATCTTTTTGGAAAGAGATTCTCGCCGCACAACTTTTATGTTTGCGTTTTCACAAAATTCCTCTTCCTCGGTTTTATTTTTATATTATTAAATTTTAAATTTTTTATGTAGGTTTTGGTGTTTCTTTTGTTCTTTGGGGAGTGAGGTTGGGCAGGGTGGGTGGTTGGGTGGGTGCATGCCCAGTCAAGTGGGGAAAGGACGGTGGGGACTGCTCTTCTACAATACGACCCCCATTCATCCATCCAACCCATTGCCTATTTCATTCGTTCAATCAATCGTTCATTCATTCCTTGCTATGATGCTCTCATGTGCAATGGGGGGAGGGGCATTGGGAACCCACGCTCCCATACACCAGGCCCCCAAACCTTGTTAACAAAACATGCCGTTCCCCAAGTTCCCGATGAGTATTATAATTGGCATTATGGAGAGATGGGGTCCCCCAATTGGATGTCTTGACAAGCGAAGTAAATTATTTAACCATTAATAGTATTGTAAATATGTATAATTGAATAGCACGCTCTTGTAGCAACCAAGAGCGAAGAATTCCAACTCCTATTCCAGTTCTAATTTCACACCTTATTATAACATCGACAATGCCACACAAAATTGATACATTTCCCACATGAGTTTTCCATAATTGCTTTCGTGAGGTTATTTGTAGCTGGAAACACTTCATAATGAACAACATTGTATTTTTTATTAAATTCCAGTTCTATTTTCATTTTGAAAGACTATCAATTTAGATGGAATCTACCAGACATGAGACTTGAGATAGTTAGAGAGTATTATTTTTGACACTTGTTAGTCAAATGAAATTTATCATTTTATACCATGTTTATATATTTGAGATGCAAAATAATAACACACGTATTCTAAAATATATATATATATATATATATATATATATATATATACATAAAGATATACATTATTACTAACATGAATATCAAAGTAACAAAATGATTTATAGCGGCTACTTAATCGAGAGCTAAACATGAGAATTCATTTTTAAAAACAAAAAATGTGATCAGTTTTGTATAATAATGAAAAACGATAATCGTATACACAATTAGGTTTAAAGAACATCGTTAATAAAATTAGAAGAAGCATATAAAAATACTAGAAAAATAGTAAAAATGTATTTATTAGTTCAGTTAAAGTAAATCAAATGCATGCAAAGTACTACTCCAAAGGCGGAGACTAAACCCCAATGAACCATAAGATCCAGCGAGTAAGGAAGCCCATGACCGCGCCAACTGAGGAAGCGAGAGAGCCCCAAACAGAAGAAATAGTAAGACGAGCAAACCCTTGACCGCACTCACTAATCGAGCCACTAAAAAGCGACGGATTTTTCAGACAAGCTCACCACCAGTCTACGGTAATGGGAGGAGTAGCCTGAGACGGGGAATCGAGCCACGGCACCAGGGCCAGTAGCAGGACAGCGGGGCCGATACGGGATCTGACGGCTCGCACGATAGAATCCGATCCTCAATCTGACGGCTGTCAGTCCGAGCGCGCGGAGCTTCGGCTCGTGGCACAGGAGCAAGTCAGGCGGCGGCACAAGCCTACGCTCAGGCTCTGCGGCGATGGAGGGTAGTGCGACGAGGGGCAGTGATTGCAGTCACCGAGTAGTACTACTACTACTACTATAAGCTACCTGGCTTAAGCCTAATCCTGCAATGGTGGTTTATTCCTTGTCAGATTTCTATTTCAGTTCTCGCGCTTGCTTTCTCGCGGGTAGCACCCGATTCTCTGCGCCTGCTGCTGCTGCCTCGATTCTCCTCCGCGGGCTTCGAAATCGCCCTCTCTCCTGGCACACACAGCGCCCTGTGAATGAAAGCTGCAGAATGGCGACCCTGCAGTTTGGTTGCCTACTGCGTACTTGATCACGGCACACGGGGACGACAAAGGGGTGAGCAGCAGACGCTACGAGACAGTGGGGGAACTGCTCCTCCTGCTGCTGCTGCAGCTTCTTCCTTCTTCTTCTGATCCAGATGTTGTAACTTTGTTTTTTTATTTTTGTATTTTTGTATTTTTATTGTTTAATTTTCATTTTCTATTTGTGTTGGGTGTCGTGGTTTTCTGTTTCCAAGTCAGGGTTGCGTGGTGCATGGCATTCCCTTGCATGGTCGGCACCCATTAAGGTTTGTGCCTCGCGGTTCTGTACCCATTAGGGTTAGGATTAGGGTTTTGCGAGGTTATGCCCTTTTGGTGAGGAACGATTGTCTGTCTTAGTTTCAGATTGTTAGGTCACACTTTGTCAGAGTCTGTGGCCATGTGATGGTGGACAAGTTGATGGCCATAAAAACAAAAAGAACAGTTAGTTTGTATGCATAATGAAGAAGGTACAGGAGTTGGGGATATTACATGATGACAAGGAAAGACAGCAAAGGGGGGATGCAATTTATAAAATAATAATAATAATAATAATAAATCAACTATCATTTGCTTATTGCAATCCCAGGAAACTGTACAGAACATGTATTTTGTTATCATTTTGAATTTCAATATATTTACAGAGTAATGTTTTATTGTTTTTGTAAAACCTGTGTTGATAAATGTAGAAGTTTCTGAGCATGTACATATCAACACTTTGTGACCCAACTCTCTTGCATTATGTTTTATGTAAATAGTTAATATCACTATATTTAGATAAAAAAGAAAAAGAAAAAGCAATTTGAACATCAAGCAAATATTATTATTTTTATTGCAGTTGTTTCAGATGAGATTTTAATGATCTTGACTTATAATTGTTCATAGAGAAATTTTGAATTGTATTAAATTAATTACATTGTATATATACCGATGTATTAATGATTAATTAAAAATATTCTCCACGAGCTAAATTTTTTAGCTTTAAAAGAAAAATGCTAAAAATAACGGATTAAAATAAAGTGATGATTTATCCAATTTTGAAATTTAACATGTAAGATATAGCTTTAGAAGACTTCAAAAAACCTTGAGTTAATAAAAAGTTGTTTTTTAAATGTGGGTTTAATTTTATTACTCATAAATCTCTGAATAAAAAGTTGTTTTTTAAATGTGGGTTCTACAAATATTACAAAGTCAAAGGCTTTAGGTGGAATTATAAAACTGATATATATATATATATATATCTGATGATATATATATATATATATATATATATATCATCATGAGATAATGTAGCTAATATTAAGGACTTATTGTTAATGATTTTACATGTTTATAAATTAATAAAAGTATCTATAAAGATGTTTTGGATGTATGGTGATTGCTAAATTTTTGTAGCATTATCAGCAATGGTTTGAATGGTGATACAATATTTAGTACTTAAAAATAGTAGCAATTGCTAGGCATACAGATATAAAAAGAAATAAAAATAGAAAATACATGGCTTTCCAATACTTTTATAAATTTAACAATATTTTTGATGATCATGTACCCAATACATGAGCAAATGTTAAAAGAGATAAATATATAAGGTTGATTTTAAGAAGTTAAATATTAGAATAGTAATCAAGTGAACATATGCAAGATGTTTGTTGAAAATTTAAAGTATATAAATTCAATATATATATGCATTTTAAAAATATATAATAATTTTAATTTTGAAATTAAGTGTTAATATCTATTTTATTTAATATTAATATATTAAAATAAAAATGAAGCAGTAGGGGTTTAAAATGATTTACCTATTTATATATATGTATAAATATCAAGTACATGAATGATAATACATAGCTTTATAATTATTATTTTTTATTCAGAGATTTATGAGTAATAACTCAAAAGTTAAGTACATTAGCTTGTAATTTTTTAAAGTTCAATTCAATGGATGAAGTTTATTAATAGATTAAAAGAAATAATAATAGATGAATAAAAGAAGTAAACTTCATAATTTTGTTAAAGTTTCAAAAAGTGTGTAAAATAGGGATGGCCAACCATTCTTCTTGATTCTCTTTGACTGAACATCTATGTTAATTTCCTTACATTTTCAAGTAATATTACTTCTTCATTATTTAGTTCTTTTGTTTAATCTAAAATTTTATCAATTAATACTAGAATACATTGAAGCTTATTAGAATTGAAATTTACCAGACTTCAATGAGAATGTTTTACTTCAATTAGATGTTTTATTTTTTATTTTTTAATGACTTTCTATCATTTAAACAAATTTATTTCTAAATTGGAATTTACAAAATTTAAATTTTGGGACCTTTGTTTGGCTTACAAAGTTCTAGAGAATGATGTGTTATTGGTTGTTGATTAGTTGTGAAATCTAATTTTGTGCTTCTTTCTATTTACAGATTTGGTTGTGATTAAGTTTCACCTTTATTTTTTTGAGATTTTTCATTAAGATTACTTCAATATGTCTTAATCATATTTATAATATCATTTAAATTCTTACTTTCTTTCTAAATACATAAATATTGTGTTTTTTTTAATTTTATTTTATAGATTGTAGTACCAATAGATTATTCACTAGAGTGTACATTTGCAATGACTATTAACAAGCATCACTACCATTCTATACAAAATATAGGAATAGATCTTCAAACTTCACTTTTTTACTTTAAAAAATAATATGTACTCTATTTTAATGTATTTTTTGTATTTCTATTATATCTTATTTTATTCTAGTATGTGCATGGAATAATTCTACAAATATGTATATTTTATGCATGTAAGTGTTTAATATTAGTTTTGAGTAGTATTTATATATTAATTTTAGATTTTACCAACATATATACCAATAAAGTTCTTACTTGATGATACATTTTATTTGTTTTTTTTATTATGTGTAAGCATATATACTTATAACACTATTATTTGTATAGCATTGTCGTGCTTTATGGTACACTTTTGATAGTATTCATTACACTCTTTTCCAAAACAAAATGACATTATTTATGAATGAATTATACAATTTGGGAGTTGAAAGTTGTGTGTATAAAATATATATATATATATATATATATATATATCTATATATATATTATAATAGGTTTATAACACCATTTAATCACTTTTTTTTTCTGGAAAAATAAGTTTCATTTAAGATGATGTATACAAAAATAATGCATTTAAACACATTATGCATGCTTTTTCATATTTATGAACAATTGTTTTGCAATAGATTAATTCAGTAAGTGATTAGAAATTTCCTGTACTGTAAGTAAAAGCATGACACATAAAATAAAAACAATAAAACACACAACTCTGTATTACATCATGGCATTCTGAATTTAAATCACATTAGATGTCACCATTGCTACTTCAAAGTTCATCACCGTGTGTGTATTGCGAGAGAAACATGTTATCATAAACATGAAAAGTTAATAATAATAATAATAATAACAACAATAGTATTGATATTACAAGTTTTGATTAATCTTAATAAACATTTATAAATAGATAAAATAAAATAGAAATAATGTTACTATGGATATATCTCCTTTTTTCATTTTCTTTTTGTTTTGTGTGTGTGAGTGTGTATATATATATATATGTATATGTATAAATATATATACATATATAAATATTTGCATACACAGATACATACACACATAGCATGGACCAAATGATAATTGGGGGGGGGAACACCCATGGACCCATGGGGTAAAGAGAGTATGTATTTGTTTGGAGATGTGTTGCTACTTGGGTTGGGTTGTTGCATAAAGAAAGAGGAGAGGGGGGGGGGACTTTGTCAAAAGGGCAGCTTTGCTCCTTTTTACTTGCTATTTTGAATTGTATTCCCAACTCCATATCTATGTATATGCTTATATACATACATACATACATACATACATACACACATATGTATACTGTATTATTATTAGTTTTATTTTATTCTATTTTACAAAGTCACTACCACGATGAGTTGAGTTGTGAGTTGTGTTCCATTATGAGCCATCCTATCACACCCCCCCCCCCCCTGCCCCATATGGCACATCCCATCTCACACATCAAATTTTTCCATCACACCATCACGCCCAGAGCAGCAATAGACCAGAGGAGTCCAGCAAAGCAAATAACAAATGCAATCAACCTCCCTCATCTCATCCCATGTTTCTTGAATGGAAGAATGAAATAAAGAAAGAAAGGAAGAAAGAAGCACCAAAGGACAGAGGTTGGGAACATTGGGAACATTCCAAACACAAATCAGACATAACAGAGAGAATCATGGAATAACATTAATTCATGGTGTGTGTGTATATATATATATATATATATATTCCACTGCAAGAATATATACATACATACATGCTGCTTTGTAAGAATATATGTAACATATGTATGGGGATTAGCACCTACATTCTGAAAAACCCAATACAAATATAATGTTGCCCCACCACTCCACCCATGAGACACATATAATACAATCAACTTGAAAATTATAATCACAATAGAACCATTTTTATATTAACTTAGAAGGAAAACTGCTATATATATATATATCGAGAGAGAGAGAGAGAGGTATGTGTGAACATATATTGAATGTGGATTTGATTTTATATTTTGGTTCTTCTTATGAGGATATGCTGCTTTTATAAGCAGGGTGGAGGAAGGGGCCAGGTAGTGAAAGGGAAAGGGAAGGGGAGGCAGGCAGACAGGCAACACAAGTAAAGTCAAGTAAAGTAAAGGATATGGTATGTAAAGAAGATCCCATTCCATTGCCCCCCCTCCCCTCCCTTTCCGTCTCTCTGTCTGGGCATCCCTCCATTCTGTTCTACCCCTTTTCTATACACTCTCTCTACTTACTTGTATTTCCCTCTGTGAGAGTGTGTGTGTGTGTGTAAGCAAGACTAGGTCAGAAAGAAAGCCCTCTGCACTGATGCATGACCACCACCACCACCACCAACATCAACAAAAAGAGGAAAAAGAAAGAAAGAAAGAAAGACAGCAGAAAGAAGGGTGGGTGATGATGCAGAAGAAGCTGCTTCTGCTGCCACTGACCCCTAAGTACATGTGTAAGTGTGAGTGAGTGAGTGTGTGAGTGAGTGTAGGAGTGGGGAGTAGGCATGGATGGATGTGCACTGGGCTGTGGTGAGTCAGTTAGTTTTGCCCTCCCTCTCTTTGTGGATAATATGAGAGGTGAGTGGGTAAAAGGGGAGGCTACAGGTGAATAGGGTGGGGATAAACATATGACATTGGCAGTGTGAAAGGGAAAGGGAGGGGGTGTGAATCTGCAGCAGGGCCCCTGTGCAGAAGTGTGCCTGCATTGCCTGCCCAGCCACTCATCCTTCTTCTGCCTGAAGCTCTCCATTCCAGCAGCAGAAGGGAAGGAAGGGAAAAAAGTATTAGGAGGGTTTGTTGAGGGAATGTGTCGGCCCACATGGGCATGGTCAGCCTTTGCACATGGCCAAAGCAGCAACCGGCCCCCCCCCTGCCTCTGCTGCTTCTGCCCCACCCCTCACCCTTGCACTCACCCCTTTCTCCCTTTCTCCCTCCCTCCCTTGGTCTCCACCACAGCCTCCACCACTGCCTGCCTCACCCCCCCCCCCCTCATTAAAAGAAACCTAACCAAAATAAGAACAAATTGAAACCCAGCAATAAAAGCAAAAACAAAAAAAACAAACAAAAAAACAAGTAATTCCAGCTTTGCTGTGTGTCAGATTTTCCTTGTAGTGGACATTGT